AAGATAGGATCCCCATCAACGCATATCTCTCCATCTTGTATTGACAAGGTCGGAGTGCTGGTTGATGCCCAGATAGTATGTGAACCGGTAAGGTGAAGTTTCATGTGTTATTTTTATGAAGTATTTCGAGAGTCGTCCTGCTTTCTTACGAGAAAATTTCAAGTTAATCAATATGTATGTCATCTGTTACCAAGTCATCTACTGTTTTATAGGGTAGTACTCGCCTTGTTGCAATAAACAAATGGGGTGACAGCGTGCCTCGACCGATCTTTTTCTTTGGATGGGGTCAAACGCGTCAGGTTTGTCCTTTTTTTTTGAATGAATGGTGCGCCATTAGTAAATCAGGCAGACAGTGATACAAAGAAAGTTGATAGTGAGCGTAGCGTACTTACTGGAAAATTACACGAAAAGGAAATGAAGTCTCCTGAGGAGGTTTTTTTCCTCTTACACCCAACGCCAAGAAATGCGGTTGATTAGTATTGCATAAGCCCTTTCCTACTGCGCCTTCATCGGCTGGCGGGCGATCGGCCACGAAGAATACGTGGGCGTTATTTCTATCAAAATCACCTTTACAAAAGTCCCTCCAATCATTCAATGACGAGAAAGTTCCTTTGAAAAACTAAATTTTCCGATTAAGGATGAGATTTCTTTTACTAGAGGTTGCGCCAATCTTCGTAAGCCGTCCGAAGAGCGCGGGCACGCGTGTATCGTTTCTGGTACATTTCGCAGCGAAAGGGCTATATGTTTGAAATGCGTTGTAAACCCAGCGATTTGCGACTGGAGGCCCTTGCTTTAGTGATATCATATAATGATATTTTATTGTCATTCAAGCCCTGTTGCTAAAGATAAAGTCCCTTCAAAACTCACTTTACCAAATAAGTATCAGATTTTTATTGGGTGCCAAGTCAGTCTCTGTAAGCCGTCCCAGCAGCGTGGACACCCCATGTGTAGCGATTTCGTTACATGCCATAGCAAAAGGGTTAATATCACGAAGTTATTTCTCAAGATGCTGTTTCACGTTGCTATTTTTGTGAGTTCTTTAATCACAAGTTTTTAGGTCAGCACAGATACTGTTCGTTCGGAGGAGAATACATTGCTTGGTGGGGATCAACTCGCCTTGAGATTATTGAGGCGTAAAGGAATCAAACCAATTGTTGTACTGTACAGTGATTTATTACCATTGTCTTCTACTGCTGAGAAACTCCAATTTCTCAAGAAGAAGATTCTTGATTCAGCATAAATTAGGATATAGGATTGTTTAGCAGTTTCATTATTGAGATGTTATGGTTTTTTTAGACGGCATTTATGGCAATACAAGCTGTCGCTTGATATTTTTTTGTGTGATCGAAGCCAATAAGCTAGAGCTCTATAAATAAACAGTGCAAGTTCTAGTTTGTTTGAAGACCCAATACTAATTCTGTGATTAGGAAATTGGCTAAGATCAAGCTCGAGTTGGATAATTTTGCTCAGAAATTAGCTTTGTCATAGATTAAGGTTTCTGATAATTGAATAAACAATCTTCATTGGTAGTACGGGTCCCAGCATAATTTCCACTTTCTTCTCTTTCATAAAAGGTCTGCCTAGAACATGTTGAGTCCTCAAGGTTCATTCCGTGAATTTGAACTCGTTGCCATCCGAGAATTGATTGAGTGGTCACAAACACGTCCGCGCTCCCTTGGTTGGTCGTCCTAGAGCAGCTTCCATTCTCTTAAGAGTCCACCCCACTGTTGTTTTGGTCCGCCTGTCATCTGTTCTCCTCATCGTATGGACGATCCATCTGTGTTCGCTATCGATGTAAATTCTTCTGAATCCGAAAAATGTGATAGGCTTCAGAGGTCTGAGCTGCGTAAATCTTCTAGACATTGTCAGTGCACTTTCATCTTAAAAGACTTCATTGCCCGCAGATTTCTTAACCCTTTGAGTAGCGCCGTCAATAGGAAGGTGTCGTCGTGCTGTTTCTGGTGCGGCAGCCGCAGGCAGGCAGCATCGGCATATAAGGCTGTTTGCGCCTGCTTTCCCACGAGACGCGACGTCGCCGTTACAATAGTTGAGTGGAATTTGCTGCCACGCGGCTCGGTAAAAAATGTATCGCATGGTCATTGAAGGGTTGAAGTATGAGCCCTCGTCTGTGCTGCATAAAAGAGGGCTTGGAGGACTGTGAAATCGAAAAGATGAACTCAGACTTCTGGGCCCGCTATTTGGTCGTTGGCTCCATTCGGAGGCCCGAAGCGGTTTAAGCGGCTCTAGTTCTCTCCATTCCCACCTTCCTGTCGTGCCTAGGGTGCGTTTACGAGGTGGTCGCCATAATCAAAAAACCATTCGGTTTTCTTATTTGTTCACCTTCGCACTACGGGTTCTCCTATGAATTGGGTCTTCGTCGTGATTATTCGCAGTTTAATCTTCTTTCTCGCTTCGTTGAGTTCATCGAACATTGAACATTCCAGTTGGGATTGATAGATTAAGCTTTGATAAAACCGCGCTATCCGGTGCTACAAAAACTTTCCTGTCAAAGAACGATTCAAAAGGCTCAAAGGTTGCTTGCTATATGAGTGGAGTATCGTTATTTCTGTCTCATGCTTTGAGGGGCGCGTATTGACCGCTGCACTACCGGGGCTCCTGATCTGTCTTCATTCCGTTTGCGATACAAGGTAAAAAAAATGAGAAGACTCTCATATATTAGATGGACTCATGGCCATTTCATCCATCCAACAGATAAAGAGAATAGGGTAGTTTTCGGTTACAAAAGACCAGATGAATATTCAACCTCATTCGCTGTACAGGAATTTTTCATAGAAGTGTTAGTAATCAAGCGAAAGCCTAAATCTCTAGCTACAGCCTTACGTGGCCGGTTTTTCAAAACACCCTTTTATAACGCTATAAAATCCAAGGTAGTAGTATCTTTTACCTCGGCCGCGCGCCTTCATTTCTACCACGCGTATAATTCGCTGGAAGCACGAAAAACACATGAACGTGTAGAGGAAATCTTCTATTATCTAAGTCAATTGTTATTCACAGAGTTTCCTTCGAAGTGGAGATAAATTTCCATATTGAATAACAGGTTACCACATATCTAACCCGTCAGGTCATCGATCGATTGCCCCGTCCCCCGCTCGTAGATTAGCCGGTAAACAAGCTGCCGAATTTGTGAAGATACTGATATGTTAGACAACGACAATCTATAGAGCGATCTCATGCGCTGGACAGGAACTTTTTATAGGATAAAGGATGAAAGGATAAAGCTTTCGGCGTTGATCAATCCCTGAGGGATGCGCCATGCATTCGTGTTCAATTTTTAATTTCGTTTAGGTTATTGAATGCATATCTGGCCATTACAATGACTCGCGGTGACCTCTCGCTAAACCGAGTCAGTGTGCTTATCCTCCCAGACTAGTCTGAGATCAGTCTAGTACCAATTCACCGACCCCGTCGGGAATGGATGGCTTGGTGAGCCATGAGCACAAGATCGAACCATTGATCCCGTGTGCGACGCAGTGCATCTCTAACCACTCCGCCACATGTGCTTTCATAGGAGTGTTAGTAATCATTCGAAAGCTCAAATCTCTGGCTACAGTATCACGTCGCCGATTTTTCAAAACACCCTTTTATGACTCTTAAATCCAGAATAGAAATATGTTTTACACTTGTCTTTCCCCTTCGTTTTCATCACGCGTATAATTAGCTGCAAGCATGAAAAGCATATCAGCGTATAGAGAATTTTTCATACTATCAGAATCATACGTTTTTATCTGAAGTTTTTGTAGATGCAGTGAAAGGATCTCCATCTGAACAATAAGAAACCAAATAATGTGGAGTGCTGTGCAAAAACATTTGCGTCAGCCGGGATTTGAACCCAGATCTCACTCTTTCCGGGAGCGTATGCTAACTCTTGCACCACCGACGCTTAGCACGGCTACGGTTAGCATACGCTCCCGGAAAGAGTGAGATCTGGATTCGAATCCCGGCTGACGCAAAGTTTTTGCACAGCACTCCACATTATTGGGTATACTATAACATCATACCACCTCAAGTGGCGGTGAAATCAAAAGAATTCTGATTGAACAATAATATTTCAAACACGATCGATCGCCCCGCCCCTGTCCCCTTCCCAGCGCTCCATGAGTTAGCCGGTAAAGGAGGTTGTTGAAAATGTGAAACTCGATCGTATTTTCACTGGTACACTGCAGTGAAACGGTCTTTCCAAAAATCATGCACAGTGTTGCAATCGTTGAAATTTACGCTATCGAATGATTACCAATAGCCTAATGAAAGAGCTCTGTCTAGCGTGGTGTGAAACACGAATACGTCTCTTTTTCCTACAGCGCTATCAAAAGAGCTTTTTTGAAAGCAAACACATTTTTGAGTCCTTTGAGACTTCGCTATCGAAAGAGTACTGACACCTTAAGAAAGGAGTTTTATCCAGCGAAATGTAAACGAGATAAGGAAAAAAATCGCGTGGTCGTGTGAAACACAATGTTATCTTGAATTTTACAGCGTTATGAAAGGTTTCTTCAAAAACGGACCATGTACGTCGCTAGTCAGAGATTCAAGTTCTCCAATGAATGCTAACACTTCTATGAAAAAACTCTTGTACAGCGAATGAGGTCAAATATTCATTTGTTCCCGGATAACGGAAAAGTACCGAATTAAGATTTTTTTAACATTCGTTCTACTTACATAGGATATGGGGTGGCGAAGTGGCTAGTGGTGCTGCTAAAGAAGAGGCGCTGGTTCGATCCCCAACCAACGCCCTTGGGCAGGAATCAGCGAACACCTTAGGGAACGCCTTGCAAATTAGCTTCAGCAAGAATTCACTACGAATTCATTTCATATATACTTTTGAACACGAGCTTTCTAAGCACAAAAATCCTAAAATAGAAGAAAACAATGAGTTTCTCTGAAAACTCTGGACAAACCGCCATAACGTCTGGCTTTATCGCTTCATGAGAAGTGTTGCGATGTTAAAACAGATATTCAAGAATGTCGAGTGGTATGTTAAACTTCGACCCGAGTCCGGATTCGAACCCGCGTCTCACTCTTCTGGAGGAAGCGCGCTAACCACTGCACTATCAGGTCGACTGATGGCAACTTTGTGCACGTTTTTCTGAGGTACGGAATTATTGGATCAATAACGAGACCGATCGAGACTCGAGTTCTCGGAATTGATGATGGTGAAGTGGGCAAAAGACTCGACCCGGGTTTGGATTCGAACCCGAGTCTCACCCTTGTGAGGGGGGCGCGATGACCACTGCACTACCGGGCTGCTGATGGCGACTTTGTGTACGTATTCCCGGGGTACGGAATTATTAGATCAATAACGAGACCAATCGAGACTCGAGCCCTCGGAATTGGTGAGTGCAAAGTGGGCAAAAGACTCGACCCTGAGCGGGATCCGAACCCGCGTCTCACCCTTCAGAAGGGCGCGCGCTAACCACTGCACTACCGGGTCTGCTGATGGCAACTTTGTGTACGTTTTCCCGAGGTACGGAATTATTAGATCAATAACGAGACTGCTCGAGACTCAGGTCCTCGGAATTGATGAGTGCGAAGTGGGCATAAGACTCGACCCGAGGCTGGATTCGAACCTGCGTCTCACCCTTCTGAGGGGCGCGCGATAACCACTGCATTACCCGGGCCCCATTCTGCTCTCACTCTGCTAGACATCTATATAGACCTTGGAACTTGAACGCACTCACTTTACGACTTGCTTCAGTCCCGACGACCTCAGGATCGATCCTCTCCGCTGCGAATTAGGGAGGGGGGGGGGGGATCCCAATGAGAGCGGTTCGGCCGGCCAGGCCGGCAGCAGTCGGCGCTAATCTGACCAGGTCACTGCAACCCATCGGATTGGCGGGAAATCGGACCATTTGAATATCGACCATCTCGGCTCTTTGCGCGGGGTGTTGTGGTCCCATCGATTTTCAGAACATTTTTTTCTAAATTGATTCCTAAAAGACGCGAAATTACGAGAGTACCTTTAGGCTTAGGCTCAGATCTATTTCTTCTTTCCTTTTTCTCCCTTTTTTTCTTTTTTTTATTTTATTTTTATTTTGTTTTTTTTTTCCGCGCACCACTCGAGACGTCATTCCGTATGCTTTACTGATCGAGTAAAGCTACAAGAAGCCGATGGATGAGCCTTGTTCGGACTTTTTTCTTTGGATTTTCTTATTTTTTCCCAAATTCGAACTTTTTTCTTTTACTTTGCTTACAAGTAATTTTATTTCCAGCGCTTCCGACCCATCTGCCCTTGAAAAGCCGACGTGATCTTTGATCTACATTTGTGATCTACTGGTTCTGTGGCTACCAGCCGACTTCCTTATTGTCACTTTTACTCGATTATTTCTGATTCATCCCGTAGATTTTTCACTTTATGTCCCTTTCTTGCCTTACTCTTTTATTGATTTTAGGTTTTATTGATTTTTTTATTGATTTTAGTTCCTTTTATTGATTTCAATTTCTTTATTCTTATGGAATCTTTATATTTTATATACCTTTACTTATCTCTGTATTTATTTAGTTTTAAGTTGATTTTGAGTTGATTTATTGATTGTTTTTCTTAACTTAAATGCATTTCCCACAGTGGTAGCCGTACATTTCATGACCCCCTCCCCCCTTTACGTGAATGTCGTCAATTATGTGACTGCTAGTGCAGATTACGGACTTTTTCAATTTCGTATTTTTGCCAAGTTGAATTCAAATCGGTGGTTTTTCGACAGTCGCGCTGAAACTCGCTGACCGGTTTTTTCCAGTGGTTTTTTTTCCCAATTTTTACTTTAAAATCTGGCTATTGATCACTTTTTGGGCTATTTATTTCATATGTAAGTCGTTCCTCAACTGCCTAAGATCCTCTATTTGTTAGTGGATAGGTGTCAGAAGTGGTTTGCTCTCTATAATTCCCTCATACTCATCCTGTCTCTGTTTTTTTCTCTTTATTATTCTATTTTCGTGCAAAAACATCACTTTATTGGGTATTTGACCAATTTCAAACTCGTTGTAAAGTAATAATGATAAAAATAATAATAGTAAATAATGGAAATAATAAAGTAGAATGAAAAAATGATAATGAAAAAATAGTATTAAAATAATAATAGTAATGAGTAATAAATTCAAAATAGTGATTATCATAATAGAGATCTCACTCACTGAGCCCAAATCTCACTCTATCCTAGTTCGAATTCCGGCTGACGCAGATGTTTTTGCACTGCACTTCACATTATTGGGTATATTACACCATACCACCGCAAGTAACGGTCTGATAAGAAGAATCCAAATTGATAATGATTAGTGATCTATGTATATATAAATAAATATGGACCAACAAATAATAATAATCAATAATAAATGTAATGAAAAAATGAATAAACAAAATATATTGAAAATAGTAGAAATAGAATAAAATATAAAATAAAATAGAATGTGTAAAATATATGTATGTATGCATGTATAATATATGCATAAATAATATAGGTAAATATATAATTCAAAATAATAATGATTAATGATTAATATATTTATATATACATATATGTATATATGTATATATATATATATATATATATATAATATAAAGGATAAAGCTCTCGGCGTTGATCAATCCCTTAGGGATGCGCCATGCATTCGACTTCAATTTCTAACTTCGTTTGAGGTGATTGAATGCATATCTGGTCTTTACAATGACTCGCGGTGGCCTCCCGCTGAACCGAGTCAGTGCTGCTTATCCTCCCAGACAAGTCTGAGACCTATCTGGTACCAATTTACCGACCCCGGAGGGATGGATGGCTTGGTGGGCCATGAGCGCGAGATCGAACCATTGACCTCGTGTGCGACGCAGGGCACCTCTAACCACTGCGCCACATGCGCTCATATATATATATATATATATATATAACATATAATGCAGTATTGGTACGTAATACAGCATAACAATATAATGATGTAATATGCATAATGCAATAATAATTGATAATAAAACCAATAAAAGTGTTGTTTATCGCTTGGAATTTTCTGTGTGCCAAGGAACGGCCCTTATAAGTGATAAATTTTGGTTGTTTCTCTTGACTTTGAGCTAAATCTTGACTGTTTACCGGTCTTGGTTCTAGTCTTTTTTCTTCCTATCACTCAAATGTTTGCACAAAAATGTGAATCTGACACTCATCTGAGTAAATTATTTCATATAAAAGTGTCGTTTATCGCCTGAAATCTGTATTTCAGGAATAGCTCTGTGAGTGATGAATTTGATTGTCTCTTGAACCTTGATTCTAGTCTTGTTTTTTATCCTTTTTTTTCGTTTTTGGCAAAAACTAGGGCTACTTACTATTTACTAAGTCATTATTCTTTGCAAAAGTCGACCGTTGATCGCTCAAAATCGGCTATTTGCTGAGAATCGCTGGAATAAGCGGTATAAGTTCGATTGTTGTGTGTTTCGGTTCCAAATAAGTAGTTTTCACTTCTGTTCCCGCATTTTTTTTATTCGAAAAAAATACAGTTAACTATACACTGACGCGATGAGTCATGAGAAAAACCCATCTGTCCATTTGCTATTATTACTGCAATAATATAAGTCAGCCCTCCTTGACAGACCACTGACATGCGTGGCTCAAAAAATGATTATCAGGCATAATGCAATGATATTCCCAACCATTTACTGCTCCTTTAGTCCATCACTTCATATAAAAGTGGACCGTCAGTTGCTTGAGGTTCTCAGTGCACCAAGGAATCGCCGTTATAAGTGGTTTAATCTTGATCACAGGTTCACCTTTTTTGTTAATTTTCTATTTGAATTTGTCTGTAAAATTTGATTCCATTATCCATTTGACTAATCATTCTATGCGACAGTGTTGTTTGTCGCGCGAAATTTCCTGTCTGCAAAAGAATGGCTCTCATACGGGATATAATCTTGGCACAAGGGAATCTTGGGCTGTCTCTTGGTCTTGGTCCAAGTCTTGTTAGTTCGTGCTTCATTCATTTGCGACCAAAGCTATGACTACTCCTTACTAAGTATTTAATTTTTTACAAAGCAGACCGTTACTCAGATAAATTCCTCTGTCTGCCTTGGTACCGTTGCGGTAAGCGGTATAAGTTCGGTTGTTATGATTTTCCGTTTCCAGTAAGCCAGTAGTTTTCACTTTTGTTTTCAATTTTTTTCGATTGTATCAGAATTTCTTATTCAAAAACACAGTAGATTATGAGGAAATGATCTACCCACTGTTATAAGCGGTTTAGTCTTGATTATGTCTTTGTTGTTGAACAGTACAAAGGCATAAAATAAACGCTGTAATTAAAATAGTAGTGATTTCCAAAATAAAACGATCCTTGGAATGTTCTTGGTTACTTTGTTTTCGATTTTTATTGAAATAGAGGTTTTTACATTATTTCTTGTATTGTTTTTATCGAGTAATTCATATTAACATCGATCATTGAGTGCTCGAAATTTCCTGTGTGCCGGGAATTTGAAGATAGGATTTGTTGTTCATCATTGAAAAATTTACTGATTATTTCCAACTATTCGTAAGATGCTGTGTTATCACGTTGTATTCCATGAAGTAATAGACACTGTTTCTACAAGAGAACAATTTATTTTCTGATGGCTTGCGTGTGACGCAGTGGTTAGAGGTGCTGTGCGTAGCAGAGAAGGTCGATGGTTCGATCTCGCGCTCATGGCGCATTAAGGCATCCACCACTTCGGGCTCACTAAATTGGACCATACTCTGCTCTGTGAAAACTTCTTGTTTAGCGATTAAGGTCGGATATTCATTTTTGCCTTATAAGCGAAATGAACGAAAAAAATCTTGAAGGGAAAGTTTTGAGACATTTTCAGCACATAAATATGCTGCTGTTTACATGTATCACCAACTTTTTCAAAAAAGGATTATAGTTCCTTTACGTTGAAGAAGTTTCTGGTGCTTGATATTTCTGCTGTACATGAGTACATGTAGTCTAATCTCTTTGCTCTTAGACTTGTCGGGGAGGACAAGCAGCACTGACTTGATACTCGGTAGGTCACGGCAAGTCACCGTAAAGGCGAGGTATAGATGGATTCATTCACCTCAAACGAAGCTAAAACTTGGCTAATGGATGGCGCATCTTTTAGAAGAATTGATCAACGCCAGGAGCTTTATCCTTTGTCCTTTAATCAGTCAGAATTCTTCTTATCTGACCGCCACTTGCGGTGGTATGATCTTACAGTATACCCCATAATATGGAGTGATGTGCAAAAACATTTGCGACAGCAGGAATTCGAACCCAGAACTCACTCTTTCCGGGCGCGTATGCTAACCGTTGCATCACGGACCTTTGTTCTTCATTTGGTACATAAGTGATTTTGGATGTAGAGGTCAGGGGGAAGGTCATTTCTGAAGATCTCTTACTTTGCTACTCAAAGCAAGAAAATTACTAGACTATTCGGGCCATACCGGAATGAAGGGATAACCGGTTTTGGGAATTATTTTTATTATTGAAGAGATTGTATTGAGTCATTTCGGGGTTGATAGGTTAGCGGGTTACGTAGATTTTTGCGGTCCCGGCGACCTTATCGGAGTCACGCGCACCCCAGGTTCTCTCATTATTACCTCCACTAGCCTATCGCTCTATATAAAAGTCGACCGTCAAGTGCTTGGGATTATCTATGTATCAAGGA